AACATGATAGAGAAAAGCAAAAGAAGGGTTTCAATTAGCTGTGTATGGATAAGCTTGGTTTCTCCAATTGTCAGTAGTAGAAAATGGTAGATTTTTCTTTCTACCTGTTCTGAGCCTGTGATTTCTTATCTTCCTTCTTCGAAGATAAAGCATCAGACTAAGCCCAAGCAGAACCATTCCTATTGACAACGACAAACCTACTTCAAGAACTTTTCTTTTCCTCCCTTCTAACTCTGCAAAACAATTTATCCAAATAAAATGAGTTTTTTTTCAATGATATAGAACCTTGAAATTTAGAAGTATACAGATCATCTATATAGGAAAATAAGACGAGGAAAGATTTGTGATTTATATATTAAATTGTTACCTAATTCAGAAGAAGCCATTCTGATGTAGATATCTTCACCTTCTCCAGATAGTTCTCTGATGTTTATTAAGTCCGTAAACCAAAGTAGGCATCCACTTTCCCCTCTGCTTATATCCAAGTAAGTATAAGCTGTACAAAAGCAATTCTTTAAGCATTCTACCTTGCATTCTTCGAGTGTCATACTCTCGTTATACAAGGAATATTGTGTATCTGGCAATTTAATGCCAGAATATTTGAGAAATACATCTCCTTGTTGACAATTCAAGGGAGTTCTGCGATCACACCCCTTCGACCAATCTCCATTGTACCATCCATCTGGTTTTAGGCAAAAATTTATTGAAACATCCACAAACCGGAGAATTCGCAATATTGCAACTACCATATGCACCACATAATCCATAAACGTCACAATCATCAGCTGGAGTAGTTATATAATCCACCCACGCCTGGGTTCGATTAATCCATCTCGAACTCTATGCAACACCTTTTGATGTCAAAGTAAATCTTGGAAGAATTGATCTGTTCAGAAACTCAATAGAAAAGTAGGCCTCGTTTTTATTTAGAACTACTCCGTATTTATAAAAGTATTTTCCCTCAACTTTGGCGCCCCACTATAGCGGAGTCCATTCCAAGGTCCAGTTTTATACTTCACCACTGAACCTTTTTTCATCACATGTCGAGGATAACCAGTAGGATCAAAGTGATATGTAAAATCTCCCAAAGACGGAGCGTCATTGCTCTTCCATGATGAGAGATACACTTCATGTCCCGTTCTAAAGTTCCAACCAAGCTTCATTCCTGACAACATTGTATCAGTCGGATAATTAAAACTCTCCCAGAGGAAATTCTCGGGATCGTCATCATTTGCTTCTTTCACAATGAGGTTTCCAGTGTCGAGCAATTTCGCAACTGGAGTTTTCATCATTTGCTTCTTTCACAATGGGTCAACTAGCTAGTAGAATATGACTGTTTTAACTGCTCAGTATTAATACCCATTACCATTGGCCATTATATCT